ATTAACTGGCAATAGGCACATTACATTGATAATCAAATTTGACTGTATTTCCAATATCCTCGTTTATTGATTATTGAACGAAATGCAGTATGAAATTTTTGAAGTGCAATATGGAATTAATTACAGTGGTTGAGAATGAGGTGAAAGCATTACTCGACTGCGAATTTCATGCGGATGATTGGTGCGATTGGTATCCGCAACCAAATGGTCAATGGAGAATTGGAACAATCACACAATTTGGTGCATTGAAAAGAGGTTACTGATCATCGCTCTTTATGTAATACCTTTCGATTCAATTTCTCTATTGTACAACTGCACCAATAAACAAACATTCGATAAAGGGGTCAACTTGAGCTTCACCACAAAAAACACAGTCTATCATTGCTCACTTTCATATCTTATTGCAAGTAAGTAAACGAAATGAATTGTTCCTTCGCATGAAATAATTGTAAACGGAAATTCGCAGTTGAAATATACTTCAGTGATTACGAGAGGCGATTTTGTGCGGCACTTCTTCTGAAATATTACTTTGCCTGTTATCTGCTGTGATGAACTCTGATCGCTAGATCAAATTGCAGTTGAACAACAAAAATGAACGTTCATATGCTAGGATAGATATGTACCGTTTAGGCATAGCGCGATATCAATGAATATCCAAAGCAAAGATTATGTGTATAACATAAAAAGGTGATTGATAAGAATAAATTCGTGAATTTTATATGATTGCGAACAACGGAAAACGTATTTTCCGAAAAATACTTCAGCCGATCCAAAAAAAAACTGCGGTTCTCCATTATGGTCGATTATCAACTAAAACAGAATTTGCTACATATATTGAATGGGCACTGCTGAGTGAATATATTTCTAGGTGATTCATATGCATATGTTCACGGGCCAGATGCGTTCTCAAGAACTGAGAGTCGCCTTTCGAGCAGTACAATCAATTCGTTTCCGAGAACTTCACAATTTCGATTCTTATATCAGAGGAGCGATAGGCCAACTATTGATGTATGATCTTTTTTGAGCACTATCATCCGCAAATTGACACGTCCCTGTTGCTTTTTGCTTTGAGCCTTGAGTGAAACTTCGTTCTGAGATGCGACTCATCTTATTTGCGATGAACGGAACTGAAATTAAACATGTTAGTAACAAGAAAATGCTGGTTTTTATTACCATAACTGTAGTGATTTGTAATTTACTTGGCTTGCACAATTGCAGATTTGTTTACAACAAGGAAACGATGACTTGATTTGTTTGGATACCGTATCTGGTCCGTATAACAAGAATTGGATTTGGCACAGCGTGACAATTCCTCCGCAAAAAACATTTTTCAAGGAAAATTTTTGTTCATTTACAATAGCGTTCTCGTTTGCGTATTTCGGTAGTTAACTTGCGCATTCACTTGATGAAAATAATCGAAAGAACAGAAAACACACATCTCAGGATCTCTGTTGCAGACAATTCTAGGCGTTGATTGACCCTTTACGGTCGGTTGCGTTCATTAACCCTTAGGGGATCGGTAACAGATATTTATTTAGATCTTCATAGTCACTGGGTGAATCCCATCCATTTTGATTAAGTGCAAATAATTATCTGTATTAATGCGTTAAGACATTCACGGCACTTTTTGCAACTTGTATGCTATTTACAACACACATATGATGCAACAATAAGTGCTAAGTTTAAAGTTCAGTTGTGAATCGTGGAAATTCACTTAAGCTAATCACAAGTTGTTTCATTATATGTTTGACAGTGGTTCAATATGGAGAGTTCAAGAAGCAAAATTTAAGGTTGTTATACGTGTGTATAATTTACGCACAACCTCAGATATTGTCGCAATCGACAATACTGAATTAATGCCTCTGACGTCTGCTGATAATCGCATTGTTCAAAATGCTTCCTCTGAAACAAAACTCGGGTGATTAAAACTGTTTCTGTCGAACATTTTTTAAATTTATTAATTTTCTTTCACTAATATTTAATAATTCAAAATGGGAAAAATATCACTAATTTTCATTGTATGCAATTTTCGGCTCACATTCCGCATTTAGTCAAAATAGTAAGAAATTTGCAATGTTTTCTCACTGTAGCACTGCCTCGCATAACTCCTACCAATTGAGAAAGCAAAAACAAAGAAGTGATATCGAGCTTACTGAAAATGACGCCTACCAATCCAATCGTTATTTGCAAGGTTCATCATTTGAAATTTTAATTTTTTAAACAGGTAGTTCTTTCATTCATTGTTAACGAAGTATTCAAAAAATGTATTTCATGCAGTGGCATATCCAAGAAGGGAGAGCGCCCCCTCCCCCCCCCCCCCCCCCCGCCTGGGAAAAATCGTGACCACGCCGCTGTTTTTATGCACACATTTTGCATATTGCTCATGCGGAACGCTTCTGAAATCTGGATATGAAATCTTTTGATCAGTACATTCCAAATGCCATATTCATTAAAATGTTTTATAAGAATATTAATAAAATCGTTTACAATGAATGAACTGATGAAAGATGATTAACATTGATGACTTCAATGTGCAACAGTTGTATTCATAATAGTTGTGTTTTATTAAAGAGATGCCTGAAATGGGAAATATAGCAGACTGGCCACATTCGATTACCAACATAGGCGGAACAAAACGTGGACGTTGCTATGCTGTCAACTGTGACTTTGGTAATTCATCGTGCGCTTGGTAATTGCATATTCTCTTCAGCACCATTTCGAATAGTTTTTGAAACACTTTGTTTGAAACACTTTGTTCGAAACACTGAAGCGTTAACCTGAAAATTAACTGTAATGAAACTTTATCGTTTTTCACTGCGCTCTTTCTGGAGCATCAATTATCAATTACTTCGTTTGAATGAAACTTCTTAAATAAAACTATGTGTTCAACTTTGTTGCGATGCAATAATCGAATTAATACGTCTATAAATGCTCACCTAAATTCAGTATAATCGCTCAAAATTGAAAACAACTCAAAAATGTGGATTCGTTAAATGATATTACAAATGTGTTCGATTTTCGCTGCTCCCGTTGAGCTTTGCAATCAATAGGAAATTGGGTTCGAGTTGGCAACGATTGAATGGTAACATAGTGGTTGCTAAGGAAGGAGATAACTCGATTATCAGCGAAACGTTTATTGTTCCGTTGGGAGCGCTCCTTCAGATAGACGCCCGCATCAGGTATTGTAATAGAAATATGCTCTTTCTAGATTCTATCATCGAAATTCAACTCGTTGATCAACTTCAGCGATTTCAAACCATGCAAAATATTGCATCGGATATTTTATGACTTCCACTTGATATAGTCTTTTACATCAAAATTCGATATTTATATTCGTCTACAGTTTTCTGTATGCGTTAACCAATTTCATGCGTAAAGTTCTGCTTACTGTGCGACAGTGCCGCTGATTTTAGATAAGTCCGCTCCCAGAGCAAAGTTTACTCCTATTCCTATCCATCTACTTTTTGACTGAGAACCGATCCGGGTTGCCCATTTGTAGTGACCGAGAAAGTTGTGTGAATCTCGATGAAATGTGCGAATACGTAAAAAGTCTTTCCAATTTTGTTATGCTCTCATTATATGATAAAAAATGTCAATGATAATGAAAGGTATATCTGAAATGCAGCTTGAATGTATTGATCTGAGTTTTAGTGAGGGTTCAGAGCTGAGTGTCATTGAGCACACACGTTCAGACAATATTGTCCTATGGAGACGATTGGGCACGTCTTCTAGTGCGAACGGACTTCATCGCCTTAGGATTCCTTTACAGATGTCCATCTCTCCGATTCGTATAATTCTTCGAGGAATTATTAGCCATAATAATGAAATAAATATTTCCAACATCAAAGTTGTCGATACATCTGGAAGAGAAATTCAATGCGGTTAGTGATGAAGGATGTTGATTTTTTGCATTCGTGCTTCTACTCTTCATCAGTTTCTATTTTAAGAAGGAACATTCGATGAGAATTCCTTTGAAAAATCACAGAGAGTTGCCATGAGCACTGACGCTGATTCTGATTCTTCACCGACACTACCGATCAGTATGTAAGAGCATATCTCTATGCATTGACGCTCAAGGAATTGAGAATAATAATCTTTTGACTGATTCGAAAAGTGATCGACAAGACGATTTTATTGATCGACGTAGTGTCGAGCTCCAATCGGACTTGATTAGCCAGAATTCGTTAGACGTCCGGTACTATTCGGCGATTTTCGAATTAAGAGTCCAATAAACTTAGAAAACCGATTGCATACGTACGAGGGAATTTATACTGTCATTTCCACGAATCCTAGGTGTGTGTATTGGAAGCGCTCTATTTCATTTCTTCCATGGTGACTAATCGTCTCATTCACTAGTTTCATCTTAACATGTTTCAGACTCAAATGTGATTCCCACTGAACCACAACATGATGAACCGGAAAGATTAACTGCTTATCAACGAATTGTGAACCAAACGGTACGATCTGTATTGAGCTACTTCTCTTGGAATTCTCCTTCGCATTTCGATTGTTCTTATGTTTCTCTTACATTGATTTTTTCACTTAGCAAATTGAACATTTTTTTCAGCGCAATTTTCTAGCTAGTAAACTTATATAGATCGCAAATGAGAACACCCGATTACACGTCTATTCCCATATTGATACTTGGCGTAACCATAAGCGGAAATAAGCGTATGATTTCCAGCAATGCAGGCCAACAGTTGTGATGAAGAAATTGAAGATATTTGTTGTTGTTTTCATTTCTTTGTGCTTGAGTGATCACAGAATTGAAATTTCATTCACAGTTGTTCAGAAAAAATCATTTCTTTTCTCATAACAGAATGGACTTACTGAAAGCTTCTCTCACGGCAATATTTCAGTCTTGACTAATATCAAATTTTCATGTCTACCAATTTTAGATAAACGTGATTACTGAATATTTAGCAAAATATTTATGTTTTCAGAAGTCTCACAAAATTATCGATGACACAGAGCAATCAGGAATGAGGAAATTGCACAAAATGAAATCCTCGCTGTTGCCTTATATTCGTGCTCAAATTCCAAACCAAGATGAAGTGCTGCTCAACGCCAGAAACGGAAGCATTTCATCAAGTGTCATTCAAACATCACCAATCACACTTCTCCAATTTGGTTCCTCTGAGTCTGAGGACCATTCTTCCACAACGCCTCATCTCCTTGAGAAATCCTTTGATTCCTCACAATATCATAATCGCAACGCTTTACAAAAAGCAGATTATGACCGCATCTCCGAAAAAAGTTCAATCAATCAATCAGTTACACAATGGAATGCACTCGAAACACTGAATGATCATCCAAAACAGCCGCTGGATTCACACTTTGTTGGTTTTGACGATATTCAGTCGACGAGTGCTAGCAATTTCAGCGAAAAGAAAAGTAGCAACGTTAACCGCAGTTATTTAGAACGAGTAAATGCTTTGGCGAAAAATGACGAGTTTAAGAGCGATGATCGAAAGTTGATCGTTGACGGCAATAACAATCCAATCACCAGTAAAACATTCCCCAGTGGAATATCGAACGGATTGAAAATCAGACCAATCTATAACAACAGAATGCTTGCCGATCGAAATGTGGCGATTGCGAATGGTATTAATGAACCAGTGATTTTGACACATCTTGGATCGGTATCCTCTTCGACAGATCAACTGGAACATGCAAAATTTCTTGCGGCGAACGCAGCTATGAGCAAATCCAATACAAATTCAACTCCCTCTGATATTGTGACGATGTTATCGAAAATTGTTGACCCACCCCAGCTGGGAGGTCAATTTCACAGATTGGCGCAATATTTTGGGCTTGATCGAATTAATGGAGAACAGGTCAGCTTTGGCTTCTGTACCAAAGTTTTTTCTTGTATTCTCTAATGATTCCTTTCTTCCTGATCAAGTTTAAATAATTCATTGAGTATAGTCCGGAATAGCTTGGAATCTGATATTAATATGAGAAGAAAATTATGCTCCAAGAGACAGATATTTTTAGGAGCAAATGGCTGCCATTCTCGATTGAAATTATTTGCAGTTAGCTATGTTGACCTTTCATTTTGCTTAACTAACGCATTCGCTATTGTGAGGATGACTTCAATGACGATATCCGCTGAAGCGTTGTTCCTTTGCAACGATTATCCAAAAATAACCGCTGCTCATTGACTTGTTTAATAACATCACGGATTTCGTTTGTAACTACTTCTACCGCTACGATACACCTCACCATTCTTGTTTAGCCGTCAAATATCACCTCACTGTAGAGAATTTGTTCGTTCATTTGAGTTGCTAAGTTCTTCTTCTTTATAGGGATCACAACTTTTCAACAAATTGATGAATTGGAAAGATCGAGCTATCAAAGATAAAAATAGGTTGACTGAAGGCTCTTCGCTTTCTGAGCAAGCGAAAAACCTCGATGGACTACAGCCGATTCAGCCAGTGAATGCTATACGTCCTGTCAGTTATGGTTTTTGTTGCTATCATGTTTAACGGAAATACTAAAATAAACTGCGTTTTTGAATGTTGGTTGCCGTAATCAAAAAGAATCAGTAATTTCTCTTTGAATTCACAGTAACGATTTGAGTGAAAACATTTTCGTTAATTATTTCCCATCAAAACTTATGTTTCAATCTTCGAGACGAGAAAGTTGAACTGTTACTTCACAACATTATGAAGTATCCGTTCCTTTCGTGGTTCGAGTGAATCATTACTGTTAAATTGGGAAAAGTGCTGTAATTGAAAATTCAACATCACTGGACATGCATTGAGAAGTGACTTCGAACAAACTTTGTTGTAGTATGGCATCAAAGCTTGTTGATTTTGAGCGATCAGGCTGGAGTTTATGATTTCAATCAAAATGGGCTGATCACTTGACGGAATGCTCTGTCGTGGGCAATGAAAATGATTTTCTTTTGCGTGCATGAATGTTGATTGCGTACGGCCATAAATAACTCATTCGATTTGAACCAACTTCATTTTCAGGCATCGATAACCAACAATGAATTAAAATCGCTTTCTTCTCTTCTTCCAGCAATTTTCTTACCCCATCAGACCATCGGCCGATCATCACAAAATATAAACAGT